CTTCAATAACAGAAGTTATCTAGATGTGCCAGTTATCTTGTTTCAGTCGACGGGACACATTCACCCAGTACTAAATGATAAATCAAGCGATATGTCGACAAAACTGGATTTGCCCAGTATTCATAGCTTGGTGAATTATCGCCATTATCATCCCACTTTCGAAATCTGCATTATTTAAACGCAGCGTATTTTGCGTACACGAGCCACGTTTTTATTTAAAAAAAAATCACTATGCGACGACAATGCTGAATAATTCGTTCGTATTTTCGAAGGCCACGTAAAGTCAATAACAAAAGCAAAAACGTGATTTACATCACTGCAAATGTAACGTCAACATAGAATATTAATCATTTAATTCATATAGAACACACTTTTCTACACGTAAAAAATATATTTTACATATTTCTATTGGAGTTTTCTTTTTATAAGATATTTATGAAGTGTAAAATATAGAACGTGAAAAATAGAAAAGACACACACACATGGAATTACACGATAAGAAAGTATTGATAAATGAAAATAACCATATAACAGTAGTGTTTAAATATTTACAGAGGGAAAGTTAGAAAAAGCAAAGAGTTTGAAGTACCTTAAGATTTGTTAGAAATGAGAAAGTGTTCGATTATGAGTATGTTTACGATATAAAAATTCAGGTAATATATTTTCTAATAGGATTACAAATTTCTATGTGAACCCAATCTTTCCAAAGATAATTTCAAATGATAAATACCTGCTAACGGATCGCTCCAGATGATTAAGATTTAATCGCGATCCACGAGGATCAGAGTTTTATTTAAATCACGCTCGTGAAATAGGAGGATGCGAGGAAATCGTGATCGAAACGATCGCGATCGATCGAGAGAAACGTTCGATTCGCTGGTGGCTGCACGACTGATTCAGGAATCGGACATAAAGTGGTGGCTAACGCAGGTTTACGTTTACCTGATCGAGAGAGTGAGTCAGCCCCGGCGAGAGAGCGAGAAGGCGCATGAAAGCAGCCAGAGAGAAAGAGAGAGAGGGAAATAACGAGAACAACAAATAAAAGGAACGGAGAAGGAAGAGATACCATGACGAGGCGAGCAAGAAAAGGAGGAGCGAATCGAAGATGCGAGAGAGGGGGAAAGGACAGGTAACAACAGGTGAGAGAGAGTCAGGAACGTAGGCGGCAGGACAGCAATAGAAGGCAACACTTCCGGGCCTAAAAATAGAAGAGTGCCTCGATTATTAAGAGTTTCATTTTACGCGCTACGATATTTTTCTGTACAGGTGCAAGAAATGAAAATATATCATTCTGAAAATGATTTTATATCTGCGAACGTTTGTTTTCGGGCCCAAAAATCGCGATTACATCCCTAAGACCGGCTTCGACACAACGTTGCCAGATTGGCGAACCGCAGGTCGCAAATGCAAGTTACATATACAGTTCTCTCGAAAGATGGTATCCTCTCTTCAGGGCTGCGCTATTGAGAGTCTGATAACAGGGGTATGTAGTGACCTGGCTGCTTGAAAAATGGCAATTATTTAATTGATTTTTAATCGATTACGCAATCAATTACACAATTCGGAAGTCATTGCGCGTGAAAAGGAGGGAAATGTGGTGATAAGAGATGCATGTGCGTTGACATGCGAGCAGCTGATGCTATAATGAAGTGGATCGCGTGACACGATGTTTTTTAACGTTTTATACCGGATGTGCCGAGATAACCAATGGTAATTATAAATAATCGGAAAAATTTCTCTTTCCCCTTCTTTATCTCTCTTCTTTCTTCTTTCTTCTTTTTATAATATGCTTTACTCTTAAGAGAATTTTAGCATGAATTATCTTTTAATATTACTAGCTTTTTGAAATAATATAGGAATTTTTATGTATTGTAATCACAAGGATATAATATTTTTTAGCTGTAATTTCTGCCACAATAGAATTTATAATGCAAAGTATTAATGTGAGAATTATAATGTATACGAATGCGCTACAAGTTCGTCGAACTCTCTCTCTTTCACGTATTACGTCAGTTCAAACCAGTTCGTAAGTGACACCTACGCATGGAGATCGATATGATCCATGTTCGTTTGCTATAGGTAACAATCGATGAATCGACGAGTTAGGTGTGGCTGATGCACGACTCAAAAAATTCTTATCTTGGTTTAAATGAAATTATCAATAATGCTCGCTTATCGGTTATATGTTATATAATTTTAGCGCTGTGCTTTTTCACATTTTCACCTTCAATATATAATTGCATAAAAATAAAAATTATTATTTTTAAAAATTCTGTAGTCTTGCTTATTTGTTTTATCATTATTATGAAAGGTCTTTAAATTTATGAAGAGAATTATCGATGAGAAATTAAAAGAATCTAAGAATGGAAATAAAAAATAATTTATCACAATCAAATCTTAATTCATTAACATGCTAGTTTATTAATACTTTAAAATTTTATAATGCCTTCTTTTATTAATTATTAATTAGCATGTTAATAAATTAAGAGTACTTTTTGCAACAGTTGAACTTTAACGGCCATTTCTTCGATTTAAAAGTGTCACCATGATAGAGGAATTGTTTTTTATTTACTATGATTCCTGGAAATACGAGAGGAACAGGAACGACCGGTTGTTCGACTACTCCAATTTTTCCAGAAACGAAACTTCTTCGCCTTCGACTGCTTAACCGCAAAATCTCTTTGAACGACGCGACAATTGACCTACATTTCGTAAAATCGTAAAATATCGGTCTTCCTTCTCGGGTTCCAGTTCGGGGCCCTCCCTACGCTTCGTGTTTTATTCTACGTGATCCACGAACATAACGGAACGTCGTCCCGAAACTTTCTCCGGCGGCGGCGGACCCATTAATAACCGACAATGATTATTATTTCCTGCTGTTGCCGTCGCCGGCTGAGGTTACTAGGTGACCACGAATACGTGATTTGAATTTAGAACAACATCCAGGTAAAGCTTTTACGATTGTGATATTAATTTTCAAAGTATTATTAATTTTTACGTTCCTGCTGCTTTTCTGGATATTTAGAATCGATATTTTAATCTTAATTAAAACCCTTTAATGAAAATCAAACGAGTATTTAATAAACAATTTTCCATAAATGCAGATTCTCTAAAAAGATTTAATAAGATTTATTTTCGCAAAAAAAGACTGAAAAATTGTTAACATTTAAAATGTGATCTCTCCGATTTAAAAAATATTTTATAATTTTAATCTATAATTATTTTAATTTAATAATTATTTAAAACAATTTTTGGATTATATAATGTATGAAAAAATTTTGAATAAATGAAAACTAGAATTTTTTATGAAAAATAATCAAAAGAGACAAATAAAGTAATATACAAATATCTCTACGTCTTTTTAGAGAAGTCGTCACGTTGATGATTGCATAAAAAATGTCTCGTCTTGCCTCTTTTGATATCTTCGTTAGACGTAATAATTGCTTGCGGAAATTACTAGTGTAGCTAACAATAAGACACTATGAAACTTCTTTGTATCATATAACTGGTTTCATACGATCTTGGGTAGTTAGGGAGACGTGCTCTAGTTAAGATGGCAACAATCAGACCCACCTGCTGCACGCCGTTACGCGTCCCCGCGCAAAACGATCATAAACGCGAGTGTGTCGATCATGTAAGTCCCATAATCGTTCCCAAGAGCGAGACCGAAAGAAAGAGACCGTCCAGTTACCGTATAGCGCTTTCTAAGTATCGATTTTCCCACATCATCGTAATTATTTCGAGAAACTAATAAGCCATGTGCAACACAGAGGAAAATGTACACTGTATTCAAATAAATATTATTTATTTTAAGTGTATCATAAGTTCGTCTATCCGCAAATATATTACAAGTTCACCACAAGCATTAAATTTCATTGAATATATTCTGAATTTTAGTGAATGCAGTATTTTACGAGTAATAAAGAGTATTAAATTAAAACATTAAAATTTAATATAAAAATTAATATATAAATAAAAATTACTAAATTAAAAATACTAAATTAAAAATTTGGTTTGCTTAGTAAGTTTGATTTTTCTTTGATACAACTTTACAATATTCTTGACGAGAAAATAAATTCTTCTTTCGAGTACATGATAGTGAGATTTTTTAACACTTGTGATGAGTATATTTTAAGATTATTATCAAGAATATATTCTTTGTTGAAGAAAACTATTACTTAAAAAAAGAAAAATAAACTGATTAATCGCTTTTCTTGGCATTAGAATGATATTTTTCTCTGTGTATAAGCTTATTTTATCATAATGCGCGAAGAAATAATTTTTTAAAGTAACTAAAAGCAAACATATCGCTTCAAATGTTGTATAAAAAATAGCAAGAAAATGAAATCTGCATAAATATATAACAGAACTTGAAAAATATAACTTTATTGTGTGCGAGCAATTATTGTGGCTGCCCGATAAAGATAGAAATTTTGCGGAAAGGTTGATTTTAGAATAGGAAATTAGTTCAGCAGAGTTAGGTAAAATTAAAGATAATGCAAATAAGAAACATTAAACTAGAAATTTATACTCCTTTATAATTCCTTAATAAACCTGATTATGTTTATTGCTTGTAATTTCGGAGAACAAGAAATATAACACAATCGAGTTATTCAGGAGTTAAAAATACAATATTGGAGTATCGAAAAAAAAAAAAAAAAACGTATCAACCTTACATCTATTCCGAGTAGAATGTAATTTTATTACAAATTTGATTAAGTAATTAATTAATTAAATTAATTAATTTAAACAATTCCGAAATTTGTATAAAATCAATATTACGATGTAAAAATATTTCCATACAAGGGGTTGATACGTCCTGTCTACTAAACCTATCGCACCTTCCTCGATTACTCACCCTCATTCATCTCGATTCGACGTTCGCACCTGCATCGTCCACAATGTTCGCGTGCGCATATAAATTAAGCAGCATGAGGGGTGGACGCGGGTGCTAACATGAAGCATTTCCGGTTGTTGTTACGCGCGAACGTGCGACGCAGGAAAGCGACGGGTGTTGCGAGGGTAGCGACGCCGAGATGATCGGTAACGGGAGACGGGGAGCCGGCGAGCGGGATCGCGATTTGGAGGAGGATGACGAGCTCGAAAGCAGGGAGGAGAGGAGCTCGGAGAGTGGAGGAGGAGGTGGTGGGGGTTTCGGTGGTTGGAGGTCCCACCTGCTTGGTGGGCTAACGCAACGCGTCAAATCCTGGTACTGGGGCGCCAGGCCCCTCGTAAGTTTTCCTATCCAAAAAGACACGATCTCTTTCTCTCTCTTTTTCTTTTCCTTTCTTCACACACGCACGATTTTATCTCTCGTTTCTGTTTTTCTTCTCTTGTCGTTTCTTTCGTCTCTCATGCTCTCAGTCGCTCTTCGACACCTTGCATCGTCTTGCGAAAGGATAAGAGGACACGGTCACTCGGAAAAAGGGAGGAAAATGTATCGAAAGAAAAATCCGACAAGTATCGATCAAAAATTAAATTTGGAAAAGCTCTTTTCAATTTCTTATTTTAGTAAGTATATTATATTTTTTATTCTAGTTTTATTTAATTTTTATTTATTTAATATTCAATAGAATAATCGAAATTTGTATTAATTTTGCTTGAATATGGAGTTCTATTTGATAATCTATTATTTTACATCATTATGAATTATCTTTATTTGTATTAATCTTTTTAGTTCTAAATTTTCATTTTTATATTATATATTTTTATTTCAAATTAATTTTTAATATTAAGTTATAATTTATAATTTTACTTTAAAATTTACTTTATTTTGAAAAATTTGCTACTTATTCTCTATAGGTGTTCTTGAAAGAGCGAAAACATGAATATGACATTATCGATTCGATAATCCAACCTCGATCAAAAAGAACAGGGTGTAATCAGTGCAACCGAGTAGCGATTTTCATGTCGGAGCGAGGAAACGCGGAGAACTCGTTCCATCCGGATCTCGCCGGAAGTGTCGATAACATCTCAGCGAAAAATTACAATGCGAAGCGAAATCGTAATCGAGTCCATCGCGCAATTGCTTAACGTATTCAATGACATCATAATGGAAAGAGAAATTATTATAAATTACTTCCGGATATTTTATTTCTTTTTCATCTACTTTATTATTCAAATAAGAGATATTCCTGTTACTTTATCATTTACGATCTCTAAAGTATCAACTTTACTTTTTATCTACTATTTTATTTTTATTGCTATTTACTCGTTTATATAAATATTTGTTTATTAAAAAGAGGGAAGAAATTTTTTACTCCTTAAAAATTATTAATCTAGAATTCGCGTAAAGATCAAATTTTCGAGCGCGCTTGCACAATAAAATTGTGAATTATAACGAAATCTAATTGACAAGACGAAAGAGAAAATAGGACTGCAGAGCGCGCAGCAATAAAGTCTCATAATAAAACTCGTATTATACTGAAACAACGGGGCATCGTAAATTTCCGGCGAGATCGTAGTTGCATCTGTCGCGTTTGGAATATCCGGGTCGCAAAATGATATAAAAAAAATAATAATTCACGAGAGACGTAGAAAATTAAAAGGATAAGAAATTCAATAGATTGATAATTGAATTATTTCAATTATATGCGATAAATGAAAAACGGTTGGAAAATCATACTTTTCGGAAAGATTTATTCAATTTCTTTCGCGGATAATCGTAATACGATTAAAAGAAGAGTTAAATTATGCAGAATAAATTAACGCTGCGTAAAAATCAATGTTCGATTCGAGTTATTGAAAACTATTTGCTCACTTAGGCATGAATTCTCTTTCCTAATTAAATTTCTCTTTTTCTCTCTCTCTCTCTCTCTTTCATACACATACACACACATATCATACGATCAAGTGTCCTTGTGCTCCTAGAGCTAGCGAGATTAGTCGACATAGCGTTAGGTGTTGTACGTGTTTTTTATCTTAGATGTCTTGCACATGCTACTTTTTACGATTTGTCCTTAAGCACGATCACTATTTTATAATTATACGTATATACAGAGCGTCTCACCTGTCTCACGTCGAATTTTGATCGTAGATTTAGACGAAGTTGAAAATCGAATTTTCATTTCGTAGAAATTTCAAGAAAATTAAAGCGTAAGCTCAACAAATGTAGAAATGTGAATAAGAGATTAAACGAAAGAAATTATCTTCGTAAATAAATGGTAAGAATAATATATACAATCCTGTTTCTTCAATTTAAATAAATTTTACGTCCTGTTTATCTTCATAATTTCTATTTCTTTTTAATAACAGTTTTATTTAAGTGCTTAATTGCCATAAATGGCGAGAAAATGGAAAATTGCGATGCATATATAATCCCCTCTTGCTATGAAATCCTTGTTAAACAAATAGTTATCTCGCAACTTTATCACAGTATCCGTTGAAATTTGATTGGATGAGACTTTCTATATATACACATATATTATACATACGGGCACGGGGATGTATATGCGCTATATATTCACATAGATGTCTTGGCATGCACGATCACTTTACTCACATGAAAAACAGAGAAGAAATTTCGAAGTGATTTAGTTAGACAGAAATCTTGCAAGATAGTTGTTGTTTTTAACGTCTTAATTGCTTCAGTAATTAATCGATAGAGATGCTGGAAAGATTCTTTAGCAGCCTGCGTATAAAAATAAACAACTTCTGCAATCCATGCGAAAGAACTTGATCTTAAGTTAAAAGGAAAAGATTGTATTAGAGAAAAAAAAAAAACAAAGTCAATTACATCAGGATGTACCCGGTGAGAGGACTTCCATTTCATTCGGGATTAATCTATCTTAACTGACTTTTCCGGTTAATAATATATAGTGTAACGGGATAAAAACTTTTGTAATATAAGTTTTCTTATGTAAATACGAAAATCAAGGGTGGATGTAAACGGAAAGAGAAACTTTCGAATCGGAAAATCGTGCAAAATCATTATGTGGCAAGAACGAGACTCATTGTCTCGATGTGTACACGCGTGCGTGCGTATTTCGCACTGCGCTCGAGCACACTTTCACCATTTTCGCTTTACATTTCTCTCGAGGAAACAAGTTGATCTAATTAACTCGATCTTCGCATCTTTCAGCCGTGAACTCGACAAGTTAGATAACTGTGATAAGAGGTGCTAAAAATTAAATTAATTACTTTTTCGTCAAGTTAATTATCATTAGACCATTAAATAGAATAGTTATATATATTATCTATATAATCTGTATATATATTAATTCCGTAGGAATGTGATGTACCCTGTACAATTTTAGTGTAATTAGTATAATCAAAATTTAATATTAGAATAATTAAAATTTAATCAATTTTTTTCATAGAACACAATTATACATCAATTTAATCCAATAGGGAAGAGTCTATCTTTATATAATATTTATTGAATAATTTATTTGAAGATTATATCTTATTAAAAAATAAGGAATTCCATTTAAATGGTGATTTTACTTATGTAGTATGATAATTTCTTAACCAAGAATCGAATCATTAGAGTTCCAAGCTAATTGCATGAGTGGTAGTTAAAAAAAATTCGAAAAATGTAACTCAAGAGAAGTGATTGGGGTCTTTTCTGTTCACATCTCGAATATGGCTCATTTATAATAATATATAATATTATAAAATATTTATATTATGTCTGTAACTTATTTTATATATTTTTTTTAACAATTATATTACATTTTCCATGCATCTTTTAATTTCTAAAATTTAATCTTGCCTCTAGAGCAATTTTGCAGACGCGTGCGATGAAATAGAAGAGACCCGATATAATTGTTCTCATAATTAGCAAAAATTTAGTATCGCAGAATTATAATAGTCGTACTACACAGTTTATTAATTAGCCAGTATAGTATATTGATAAAGTGTCGCGATTGAAAATATCTCTGTTATATCGATGTGTCGTTTCTGTTGCGCGCTCAAAGCCGGTCGTACAGAATCGGTGACGATGGATGGCGACAAATATAGAGCGACAATTAGCTGTGTGATAACGACAACACCACCGCCACCACACAACTACCACTCTCTCTCTATCTCTCCGAGCACCACCAACACCCAACTGCTACCAGTCTGCCATCAGCAAGCATGACTCAATTTTTCGATATATATGTGTGTATATATACAAACACACACACACATACACGTGTGTGATTTATATATATATATATATATATATACGTACATATATTATATACATATTGATATATATAACCGTACACTCGCGTATGTGTACATCATATGTTTGCGCGTCAGCACATATAATTCCACATATAATACATGCACATAGATGATGTAATGTTGCACGCAAGGAAAAGCGGAACGAAACGATGGAGTCGAATTAAATTAAATAAAAAAAAAAACAAGTATGATTGCGAAAGAATTTCTGCCATTTTTTATCGTCAAACTATATTTTCCCCCATTTCTCTCGATTATTAAATTTCTTCTAACTAAATTTCTTGAATTGAAATTGCGAGAAACTAAAGGTATATTCCAGACCATTGCTCTTAAAATATCTTCTTTGTTTTTTACTGAAAGTTTACTATTAAAATTATAGAATAAAAATAGGCATATACTTTCACTACCATGATTAAGATATCACTTTCCATTTCTTCACTACTGTTTTTATTTAATGTCCACCAGCACGCTAGATAAGGCATGCGAAATGAGAAAGTATCGAGAGGATAGAATTGGAATGCACCACGAATATGCATCCGTTTCAGATACACTTCTGTCTATCAGCTTCCGATCAGCACTTTCGCATTTTACGTTAGAATTAACGTGTCGCGAAGGAATGTGCTTTAAAATTATACGAGTGTGTTCGAGAATCACGACGTTTCGCGCGCCTCTCTCTCTACAGATATTTATATTTCGTATACCGGAAGCTATGTGAAGACTACCAGAACGCTCTTCCACTGCAGCGTGCACGCGAATATGCCAGCATAAGCCTCTTTAGCTCTTGTGTGCCATCATCGTGCGTGCGCGTGTCCGTATGTATTTATGTACGCGCGTGTATGTATGTATGTATGTACGTGAGCATTGAGATCATTTTCGGATACGTTGCAGCAGCCATGTGCGATTTATTTTGAACGACGCCAATGTCCCCTCTATTTCTTTCAATAAAATTACAAATCCAAATTATATTAGGCAAATTATTGTGATTATTATTAAATAATTTAAAATTAGATATAATTTAAAGTATTATAATAGCTGCTTGTATTAAAGTTATATTTCATACAAACTTAATAAAAAAATTTAATAATTTTAGAATTTTAACATAAAAAAAAAAAAGAATCGGTTTTATGGAGTAAAAATTTGATGGAAAATTCAGAAATTTGAGAATTTATTTAATTGAAATATAATTCGAGAGGTCTCCTTTGTACTTAGACATTCGTGTAATCAATTGATTTCCGGTTGCTGACGCGAATCTGACGTAATGGCGGAGAGATCTGACGCCCGACTATCGCCGTTCGAATACAAACTATGTCCGTTCCAGGAGCTCGCACACAAGCTCTCGCGAAGCTTCGATATGCAGGAGGCGCAGCTGCTGGAGGAGGGCAGTTCCGGCGGCGGGCCCGCCGGAAGTGGAACTACGGGGGGCCCGCCGCGACGGCATCACAGTGTGCAACGACTGACCCGCAGCGAGATGTCCGAACGACGCGAGGAGGACGGCGCCCTGGTGGTACCTGATCATCAAGGCAACCTGCGCATCACCGTGAAAAAGACCAAATCGATTCTGGGCATCGCCATTGAAGGCGGCGCCAACACCAAGCACCCACTGCCCCGGATCATCAACATACACGTGAGTTTATTTTGAAAAATTGCCGGTTAAAGTAAAAAAAAAATCAAATTACATACAGAAGTACCTGGAGCTGGATAAAATATTGGATTAAAGAGAAAAATTCAAATAAAGTCGGGGAATGTGTTGAACGGATCGAAGAGAATTAAAAGGACTAAACTAGGTATATGTATAAAGCTAATAATAATTCTGAGTTCATTATCTCTTGTTGTATCTATATGTAAATAAAATACGTTTTTTATTTTTGTTGAATAAATTTAAAGCTTAATTATTTAATTATTTAGCGATTTAATAATGGAAATTTAAAAGTGATATTCTGCAGAAAATGTTATACATACTTGAAATTAAAGGAATGCATGCCTTGAGCATCTCATGTAAATAATTATGCATAGTACGTTGATGCTAATTAATATTCCTCTAGCTTTTTTAATAAAGTCAATTACGTTAAAATATTATCTCATATATAACGTTCATTATCCTAGGTACATTCGATTTAAATGAAGTTTGGCTTCATGCGAAACGCACGATTAATAATTTGCGTCGGGTGAATTTATCGCCAGCGCCATTTACGATGGCATAAACAATATTATGCCATAAATGCGACTAACGCATCTGTGGTAATTTGTTGCAGGACAATGGAGCAGCTTACGAGGCTGGCGGCCTCGAAGTCGGCCAGCTCATCCTTGAAGTCGATGGTCAGAAAGTTGAAGGTAATGCCAGCAAAACCCTAAAATCTTATATTTTTTTATAATCTACTAATTTTGTATTATTTCTTTATCACACTTCTAGGATTTTAAATTCTCCAAAATTAAAGTTTCAAACAACTTGTTTGAACATCAATAGTAATAAAATTTCGCGAAAATTGATCACGAAAGAACGTTTAAAATAATAAATTCGTTCCTCTCGCAACGATAATAATTAGCTAATCGATTAATAATTGCAAGATAAACAGAAAAACTTTTATGTAAGTTTAATTCTAAACAACGATTAATTCTGCTTTATTTGTAGGACTTCATCATCAAGAGGTCGCACGGCTGATCGCAGAATCATTTGCACGTCGCGATCGCAACGAGATCGAGTTTCTGGTGGTGGAGGCGAAGAAGAGCAACTTGGAGCCGAAGCCGACAGCGCTCATATTCCTGGAAGCGTAGCAGGAATCTCCCACCTCCGAGCCGGAACCACCGTAGCTCAACCTGATCAAAGCTCGGCCATCGGCGATCTAGCTCGAGACTCGAACCGAATCGAGATCGAGACTGGAATCGAAAGACTAATCGAAAGAAGCCCCGAAGAGATTTAGTGTGATCTCTTCAGCTTCTTCACTCGAATTGCCGAGCTGTCAGTTGCTGCTAAATGATTAATCTGGCCCTGGTGGTGGGAATTCTACTTTACTTCATGAAGCAAGGAGAGAAGAGCGAAGACGCGAGGGAGATCTGGACCGGCGTTGCCCGATTCCGATATTTCGACTCTTTAAAGGCCGCTTTGAAAACCCGGAATGCGCTAACGAGACAAGAAACCCTGGAAAGTTCCTGGCAGTCGTGTATTCGCTCGGACTTTTCTGCCCTCGCGATTGACTGGAATTCGCGCGCGAAATCGGCATAAAATTGCCGCGCGAAGAAATTACCTTATTATGTAAATACATTGCCGCTATTGTACATATTCTCACAACAGACAGTTCGATAGAAGAAGCAAATAATCATATATATCACGAGGGAACTGGTAAAACTCCCGGCGGATTCCCGGCAACGCCGGTCCCGATCTCAAATCAGAACTATTCACCAATTAATTGCGCGATCGTCATCACGATGTAACGAAATGCGAGAGTGCATTGGTTATTTTTCGCAGAACCTCGAAGAGAGACGAAACGGAAGAAAGATCGTATATTTTATTTTTCATCGTCGGTGGTTATTTCGAGGATTAATAAAGGTGGAGGATCGTGCAATGTGCCAAACTAACTAACGCAAGCCATATATTAATAAAGCTATAAACGATAAGAGATTGATTTGGAAGGGATGAAGGGGAAAGGAATAAACTTTCGAAGAAACGCAAATCTGCAAGAAAATGCAACGAGGGAGAGTGCGGACCTACATGCTCATAGTGTAGCTGAGTGAACGATTACCTCACAGATACACTCATAGACAAACATATACACACAACATTCACTTTTAACATTATAATCGCGCGAGATCTGAGTTTCGACGACGCAAATTTGTGTCGACTCGAACCTAGATTAATAATCGCGATGTTGATTATATATATAATTATGAGAGTTATGGCAGATATTTGTATGCAAAAGGTAGAAGGGTGCAAGTCCTAAAGAACACAATATCCCTATTTTAAGAAAAGCTCCGAAATTGTATCCGCGCGATTTATTGAAATAGACTTAAAATTTTATATTATTAAATAATACAATTAAATAAAGTAAGGAAAAGTTGAATAATATTAAATCAAATACTAAAAATAAAATAGATATCAAATTTACGATTTAAGAAATCTTTCTTGAAAAAATAGATATTGTATAAAAATTTTAGCAATTCTTAACTTTGGATTTATTTCTGATTATTTCGGACTCGCTTCTTTCTGCTTTCTGGATACGATTAAGTTGATCAAGATTCTCGTTAATTTTAATGATTAGGTGTCATTCGGCTGGTTCTCGAAATTGCGCCTAATAACGCTTAGTAGTTTGTTAAATGTTACTGTATAGATAATTAACGTTGACGTAGTTGATAGACGTTGATTCGTCACTAGGACGTTACGCGTTGTTCGTTTATTGCGTTGTCAGTTGTGTGTTAGAGAATTTTTCCCCTCTCGGGCACGTGATATATTCGCCAGCAAATGCGTACAATTTAATCGAATTATTTTCACGTATTTTTTCACATTAAAATTTGTTGAAACGAAGAATAAAACATATTCTATTATATCTATCTATTGAGATTTTCCTATTAAAATATTTACATTTCTAAATTGCCATTTTTTATTTAGTTTTTAATATTTGTGACCAAAAAATTGAGTTGCTAACAAAAATAAAAGTTGTGTGTAATGTATTAATATTTAATTAAAGTGGAAAAGATAAATCATATTTTGTATACGCGACAGATGTATCGCGATCCGAGAAAGGATTAATGATAATATTTTTTTGACTGTCGAGTATAGCCGAAATATATCGATGATCCGTCATCGAAATGGAATTAACGACGATCTTGATCGAGATTGAAATGATTGTTACATTGCGGACGTTGTTAAGGCTTAAAAGAAATATATTACTCACGTACACACATATTTATATACATGTACATATAAGTATTATGGTATGAAAACTACCGTAGTGGAATTGCAAATCGTACCTATCTACTAGGCGTCTCAAGCGTCTCGCGCCGAAAGGGAAATAATTTAAAAATAAAAATAAAATTTTAAAAATAATAAAAGCGTACACGCGCGGTATTTTCGAAGAGAAACTATAAAAAATTAGAGGTGCATACAACATAGTAAAGGCCTGATCCAGTTCGAGTTCAAGCGAAGAGAAATCGTGGACAATCCTATGTAAAGAGAATCTCGGGAAAAGTTCCTCGACAAATTTATGACCTTAGGAAAAAATCTGCATTTAAATTAAATAAAAAAATATCTTTTATATTTTATTTTCCTACTTAAAATTTTTGAAGCATATTTAAATATTGTTTACGTTACTTTTAATATTATGGATTTTTATGCAAATTTGACTTATGTATTTATAGGTAAGATATAAAATTACTGAACAAAAATCTACTATATTTTTTCATCTTTTGCTATTATGAATTACTAATATATAATAATCATAATATGCGAAAAATCAAAATTCATTCTTTTTCCTCGAATGGAAAAAATTTATCTGAACAACAAGAATGCATTTTAGTCTCGTAAATGTGCATTATTCTGTAAATGACAAGTAAATGCAAATCATGAAATAATCCGAATAACTGAGAAACTCGAAGACATGAAAACTATTAAATATTATATTCATCTAAGTAAGCGATAAAGAGAAAATAAATAATAATGAAATATGTATTTTAATATGATAATTGCTCATCTCAGAAAATAACTCGATTGTCCACGATTTTTCCTATTAAAACAAAAATAAAAATTGTAGAATATACGCGTGCGAGCAATTGTGCTGTTGTACAAATGCCAAATCGAGCCACAAACGAAGCAAAGGGAAATATTTAACTACAGTATCTAGGCAATTAATCTCTTGGCACATGGTACAATACATGCAAATTGCACGTATAAATTCTATGTATTTTTCCCAACTAAATTTGCATATAAAGTATAATTAAAGTTTTAATTGTTTTTGTTAAATATATATAATCAGTTAAATATAATCAGTTTAATATTTATATAATATATAATCAGTTAAATATTTAAATTAAATGTGAGATAAGAGATTTTAGAGAAACTTTTTGATTATACTTGATTAAATTTAATTCGTACAAAAATTCTTTTCGTTCCTATATCGTAATAAATTTATCCTTTCATCATTAAGAAAAAATTTATTTTCGATTTAATCAGGAAACCATTACACACATGTCGTAAGAGATTAATCAAAGATTTCAGCAAATGTGCCAAAAAGTTTGTGCTTAATTATATCGATCAACGATAATGGCGGTTTCAACTGATATTGTCACGTTGGAAAAGAAAAAAAAGGTAACAACAAATCGAAAAGAATTTCCCAGAGCATATTCAAATCTTTTCTTGGCTATTCTTTTGTAGCATACACACGGGAGCACGAGTCGCTTTAATCGCTATGTTACAGATGAGCCAATGAGCGGAAAATATTGAGAAAGGAAAAACGAGATGAAGAAACGAGACAGTCGAGTTTGCGCTTCTCATTTCCTTTCGGACGAGAGAAAAAAAAATAATAATAGTTTGTCTCGTTAGATAAGATGAGAAAGACTCTAAGCGCCGGACTCGAAAGACGAGAAAGGACGAGGGGTGGCTCGAGGATTTCGAAAAGCGACAGCGAAAAAGCACTATAAGAGGGGACTTGACAGATCAAATAAGATGAGATATTTTTGTAAAGCTTTCGATGTACCGCAATCCCAGAAAAATGTTTCGAAGATCTCAGCTGACATATCCGATAATGCCTTATCGCTTTTAAAAATCGAGAACTATTAGGGAACGCGCTATGCGAGAAGGACAAAGAACTGGAATTGTAAGACACATCTGATATACAACCCTAATCCATTTCCCGCCTTCCGAGAGAAACAAATCGCGAGACACTCGGTAGAGCTTAAAAATGATCACGTGTAATAATACAGTGTGCATAATTATTTTTTTTTAATCTATCTTTTCCTTTTCAAGACTTTTTCAAGACCTTCTTTAATTATAAAGGAGTTTTAGAAGAAGATAACGGTAGATAATTAAAAAAATAAAATAACGCGATGTAAAGAGAGAAAGATTAAATTGTGCAATACACCAACATTAAACAGAATATTAATTAATTAGCATCGCGAATTTCTATGTAATTAATCTCTAATTATTTTCACATGCATGCAAGCACGAAATTTTCGATCGGCGAACATGTACAGCTTCGTTTACGCACTAATTAAGTTGTGCTCGAAATTTAGTTCCAAGTGAGTTCTCTTATAATACTTTCTAACCGATAATTTTCTCACACGAAAGTGGATGGTCTAGTAATTTTCCTGAATTTTCCTTGAAAATTTCATTTAGGTCGATAAAATACAGCTATATATTTAAATTTAAAATTTTGTGGAAGCCACTTTCGCAATGTAATATATTCTAAAATTTATTATGATAAATTATTTAATTTTATTAATGCGCTCCTACTTTTTTTAACTAAGTAAAATACTTTTCTGCCTTATTCCCTGATCCAAAAGGCTTTAAACTGTACAATTTTTTATTTCTTATAAAAAGACAAATCCAGAGTATCTTATAGAGTATCTTATATATATTATTATCATTCAAAGATTGGATATGAAAATGATTAAAAAGTCTCGCGTAATTCCTAGCTCTCATTTATTTTTATTGCAATTCGAAGAAAGAAAGAAAGAGAAAGAGAAAGAGATAGAAGCGAAAGAAATATTAAAAGAAATATACTGTTATCATGTCACACGAGATTATTTTTTTCTTATTGATTTATTCAAGTACAATATAGAAATTTAAATAATTTTTTTAAACTGAAAAGTAATGATAATTTCTTTTTTAACGTTATCTATAATTTGACGTGATAAAAATTATAAGGATCCGCGTGACATGGCAATAGCGCGTCCCATCATTAAAACCGACACGTAAAAAAAAATCAGTATAATTGTAATCGTACTTTACTATTGTACATACGTAAAATCTCGTTCATACGCGTTTCATAGATCATCTCTTTTGCAATCAAACTTATACATTTCTGACATACGTACATGGTACATCCATCTACCCACCCACGTACACATATAGGCGGATACAAGATGCATGGATCAAAGCGAAATCAGCGCGCCAGATTGCGTTAATTGAATAATTCGTCACTTTATTGTACGCCTCGAGAAAAAAATGTTGTTGCAAAAAAAATAAATACGAGAAAATAAAATAAATCACCTTACATACACACATGATCACACATAAAATCACGTGCCAGAAAGCGATTGTGACACGTGAAAAACGTAGCGCGTAGCTGACGACACGGTATGGCACGTGCGAGTACGCGTTGCCATTATTATTATTGTTCTTATCATTATGATGATTATGGTGATTATTATTACTACGATGATGACGTTTATTATTACTATAATTGAATAAAACGTTCACCACGAGAATCAGACTTGTCGCTCCACTCTACTTGTTCCTCTTTGAAAAATTTCCTCTCTTCTCTTTGCTTCTTCCTAACTTAAATATTCATATTTTTATTCAAACACTATCTAAATGATATTTGTTTAATGCTTATTAAAATTGTTACGTCAATATTTAGGCATTGTTAAATCTATTTCCTAAATTAATTTTAATTTTTGTGTGGGAAGTTTAATGTCAAATAATTTATTTTTTAAATTAAAATTACTTTGTAAAAGAAGATACTCAAAATATTTATGATTATCATTTTCTCACGCTTATTTGCAAAACAACTTTAAGTTCACTTCCTCATTTTCTCCAAGAAAAAGCAAATAAAGTAAAGATGTGTTTTATGTTGAAAGTTTTACATACGAATTTTGCGAAAGCAAATCGTTTACTTTGCTTCGCAGACAAAAGCAGCTCGTTTTCATTTGCGTCATTCGCCCATCGTGGGATTTAGGGGCGTTTGACGTAAGGAGGAGGAAAGCCAAAGCTGTGCTATTAACGCGCGCCATAAAACACTAACTATCGATCGCACTAAAATTGTATATTTCAAGAGTCGTTTCGTCCAAATTACTCTGCTGGTTTTCTCAACAAGTGGCAGTGCCTTTTAACTGGAAGATAAAATTTTTATTTTTGATTGCCTTTTATCATGTATTATTTAAAATTAATAAAATATACGAAAGCAAAAAAAAAACAAATAGCAAAAAATATAGAAGTAATGAACAATATAAAATAATCAATGTAAAAAAAATTATATTATTTTTAAAAATTATTTTTAACAATTATTAAAAAATATAAAGAAAAATCGTTTCTTGCAAAGTACATATATTGTTTAAAAAATAAATATTCAAGCGACGGAAAAGTAAAAATATGATCTCCTTGAACACGATAAAAACATAATGTACGCCGAAATTAGAAGAGAGAGAGAGAGAGAGAGAGAGAGAGAGAGAGAGAATTTCCACCCACACAAATTCTTCTTCACAGTTTACATGAAGAGCAATATGTAACTCTCAGCTGATCGATAAAGAGGAACAAATCTCTTACGCAACAAAACGAATCCGCACGTGGCGCATAATCCTGTTAAGGATCGTGCGAGGGTCGCAGATTGCCTCAAATTTATGAATTCATGTCTGCAAAGCTTTTCAAAAAAGGAAAACTTGTTTTAATCACAAAGTAAACTGTTTTAAATAAAATTGCAGATTAATAAAATCATAAATCACTTAAGTAAAATTAAATAAATTTTTTAATCAAACTAAATCTGACATTTTCTTTTAATTATTTAATATTTTATGTTATTTTAGAATTAACATTTTATGTTATTTTAGAATTTTTTTTAATCAGCTTACTTGCAAGAATCATTATTAATTTAATGCAAAAAAAATGATAGAATGTGTGACCGTGTTTGATCGATAAAATCTTTTTGAAAACAAAACGGATGGAAGTATCAGAGTCTTTCCTCAAGCGTATGGTAAAAAAAGGAAACGGAGGGGAATTAGAAATATAATTTGACTAAGCTTCCATTGAGTTTGTGGATTAAACGAGCCGTGACCGGTTGCACATGTCGATCTAATTTTCAACAACACGTGCAAGCGAAAGTTCCTCGAGGGTGGAATCCGTTCGCACGTTATTTCGCGGTTTGTCAGTTGAAATTGCTAGAAAAATGCAGTCACAATAATTCGCCATAGAAACTTATTATACTTCGTCTGATCTATTTGTTATATTTTATATTATAATAACTGACTTCACACATATAAAGGGATTATTTTACAATTTATGATCTTTCTTAACAAAATATATGACTCAAAATTATAATTATTCTTCACATATATAAATGTCTAGTTTTATATTTAATATTAGATCTTCTTCACTTTCAAGACAGTGAAATTCATGAATAATAAAATTTTTAATTAATATTAGAAATTAAAAAGAGTTCTTTGCTGGTAATTTTTGAGTAAGCTTCAAACTTGTAAAAAAATTTATATAATTGATCGTTAATCAATTGTGGAAGGAACATCTTGATCTCTTTCTAAAGGATGACACGATAAGTATGTATTCGTGGCAGATGTGATTTCTCGCGTGTCAGAATCCTCGATTGTTCGTCTAAAGAGAGATTTCAAGGCGTTTCAAAGCGTCTTTCTTGATTCATTAACAATGAGGATCGATGATAACCGGTGTAAACCCGAAACGACAGACGGAGGCCTGAATGTTTCCGCTGTGGAAACGCAGATGCGCGTTTACGAGAACGCGCGTGCCGATCACAATGGATCGATTACGGATCTCTCGTAAATCAAACAATGCCTGGCTTACTGGAAAAGGAAGACACTAACTAACAAAGGGAAAAGAGAGAGATTAATCTCCCGAAAAATAAACCACATCTTCCAATAATCACAGATACTCAGGAACTCCTAAATAAAGTTGCTATTTTCACGGGATAATAAATTTTTATACAATTTACGTTTTAATTAAATTACATGAAATATTCGCGCCAGAGACCTACAGATTTTATTTCTCGATTTCTTCATCCCTCATCGATCCCATGTCATTCTTTATCCCGTGCGATCCACGCGAAAACCCGAAAATCCTCAGCTGCCGGCATCAGCTGCCCGGATCAACGACGAAGAAGAAAAGAGAATCAGCGTGGCGTTAGAAATGCAGGGACGAGCGGATCGAAAGGGGGCACGAAGGGGGGCAGAACCGGCACGAACCGGGGGCACGAATCTACGGCACGAGGGTACGCGAGACCCCGAGAGGTGTGCCCTGCACGCGTATAGTAGGGTAGTTTCCCCCTCGAAACTACCACCGGCCGCTTCCGGGTGCGGAATTCGGTTTAGACTTGCTTGTCAATGCCTGCGAAGCAGCAGCAGCAGCAGCAGAAGCAGGCGTCATCAGGCTGGTCGGCGACCAAGCGACTTGGGCACACGCCGGCGAATCGCCGACACGAGCGGTTGTTCTTTCAATCGCGTACGCCGCGATTTATGGACTCGATTAATCACGCCGATGAACGTTAAATATCAAGATCGAACGCAGTGTTAGAAGATACGATCGTCTAATATTAGTATTTTAGCTAAATAGTGTTAAAAAACATTTTCTAGCTTTCGAGCCAAATACATCAATCAATGTCTAGTAATATTTCACGCAGACAGTATCGATATATATTTTTCCATCTATCAAGTCAACAAGACAGTGTCGTGTCCAAGCAACGTCTTTTATCTGTCGGAACCATCATTGTTATCTTCGAAAAGTATTGAAATCTTTTTTGTCTTTCTACGTGGAAGTTAAGTGTATCAGTGAGGTGTTCAAAATGACATATTATGTTATTTGTCTCTTACTAATTCGAAAATATTAAACAATATAGTATCTTGAGAAAACTTAAAATGTTTAAAACTTAAAATAACGTCAAACATTTTTTAAAAACACTTTTTGAAACTTTTCAAGAAGAAAATTATCTTTTCAAAAGAAAAATATAACTTCTTAAAACTATACTACTTTTTTATAGTGTTACAATGTTTTTGAAAGAGAAAAAAGTAAAAATATTTTTGATATAAATTGTCATCGAAAGAAGATTCATTAATATCATATATATATATTTTTATCAATTTTCTGTAATTATAAAGCTAAAAAATCAACAAACAAATAAAAATATAATTATTAATAAGAAAGAAAAATCTAAAAAGTGTCAATAATAACTGATATCTAGTATTTAATTAGTCAAAATTAATTGATGAAAATATAATCCTAATATCAATTAATTACAATCAATCAATTAATTGAAAAGATATTTAACATTTACTGACTGAGTTTAATTAAACGTGGCTGTGTAATTAATACTAAGCAAAATCGATTGATCGTCATACTTAATATATCTTCATTGAACAAAATTAATCTATTTATCAGCATCTAATTAAAATTGAAGCAATTAATTAGAATCAAATAATCTATAAAAATAACTAACCGTCCATCGACTAGAAATAATCGAACAAAATTATGAGTGTAATTAATCGCGTTAATTAATCAATGCGTTTGACAATATCTCCAGTAGTGAATCGGGAACGCGTTTCATCATCCGCGAGTGCCTAAATGCGAAAGCGTTTATCCAGACTATTCTAATCCCCGTCCTTGAGGCGCCACGGGTTGTTGTTGCTACTGTTGTCTACTTAAAACTTGGCCATGGCCGATTGATCGCGACGGGGCCACTTATTCCCACCAACAAACGCGGTAAAGCAACAATTGCGGAAAAAGAATTACGAGATCTGCTGCGGCCGAAAATAAAAGAAATGCGATCGAAGAGATCGTAAAAGATCATAGAGAAATAAAACAATCCATGCACTACAGTCTCGAGAAGCACGGTTGATCGAACATTAATTCTTGGCAATTTTCAACAATCAAAAGTGAGTCTCGATCGATTGATTTATAGAGACAAGATGCATGTCAATTTTTTTATTTCAAATTTGTCTTAAGTTGTATATTAAATTTAATTAATATTAATTTTAAAACTTCTAGTTCAAAATTATGATATGAAAGATATAATTCGCGATAGCTTAATTAAAGAACTTACTTAAAAATTTAATTATGTATAAGGAATTATTCCGTTAACATTATCATAAGCCATTATCTTGTTTTATTTTCAATTAAAAGACTTTAATATTTAATTTTATTAAAATGTAGAATATAACCGGATTATTCATCTAAAGTTATTCAAAATTTCATTCTATCGATTCTAAAAATTCGTGTCATGAAATAAATATAATAAGCCATTATGTTAAAAAACGTGATAAAATATTAATATTTTTTGTCCAATTTCTGACTTCAACTTATCTCAAACAATCAACTCACTTATTTTTCCTTATATTTTTAAAAATAGTTATTTGAGATCAGAGAAAATAAAGTTGGATCGAATTCTCGGTCAAGACAAGAGGTCATCGACCTTCTTCGGGTAGCAGAGCTGCAACTCAAGTGGCCGTGAGAGAATTTAAAAGAAGAAGCGAAAGTGCACATCTACCTTCTGAAGAGATTTCGCTTATCGGAGAACACTTGAGGGTTAATTTTAAGCCCTTTTCCGAAGGCGAAACTCGTGTGGACGACTTTTAGGTCACTGTAATGATCAGCCATCATGGCGTGGCCGGCAGCAACGACTCTAACGAGTCTCCTGGTGCTGCTGATAACGCTTGCAGCATGCTCCTCGTCCAGGATTATCGTCACCACCCAGGCTCCATTTGGCAGAATTCTAAAGGCCGTGAAATTGCACGGAGGATACATGGAAGTCATCCAGGAACAGAGGTGTTCTCACGGTCTGCTTCGATTAACATGCAGGTTCGTTAGCATTCTTTATTGCGCGTCGCGAATAATTTTTAAAGCTAAGAAAGTATACTTAACTTTGTAACGGGATATTTTATGAAAAAATTAACTTATTTGCGGATAATCTATTCCGCATATCATTTACTTATACGCGAGAATTTATTATATTAGAAATATGTAGAAATCTCCTATTTATCCTATTTATTTATTAATACTTGAAAAATATTGCATTTTTATATCTTATTTAAGACGTATTTATTCTCTAACGTATTTATTTTCTCTACTAAATTAATTATTAAATATAAGCAAATTCTTAAGCTGTCAGAATTTTCAAATTCAATTTTTCAACTCATATTCAATTCAATTATTTAATTTCAGTTTTCCAGCGGACTTTATTTCTGTAACGTTACATAATTTAAATATTCCATAAAACAATCAAATTAGCTTGATACGAAAAGATTGTTTCAAAGTGATACAATCAAAAATATAATAAAATATTTAAAATTAGCTATATTATCGTTTAAAACGTTTTTATTAACTTAAATTCATTAAATTTTTTTCTAATTGATTATTTTGTTTATTCAAATTTTTTTTTGTTTATACAAATATTCTCGTAATTACAGATCATTGAAAGCGTTTATATTCATCTTGCAAGCGGAATATCACGCGAATCATACAGAATTATGTTTGAAGGAAAAAAATTTGGAAGAACTGAGGATGTGGGAACACAAAGGTAGCACACGACGATGGATAGATATGAGAGAGCTTAAAGGAAATTATATCCTTGACGACGAGGACAACAAAGCCGACGTCGTCGATATTCGATCGTCCTTAAATAAAAGGTAAACCAATAGTATTCATTCCAATATCATATTATAATTTAAGCGTTCAATACAACAGCGCATTCTAATTCATCTTTTTATAATTTTAGACATTTTTAGATATATTTAGAAATTATTCTAAAGAATAAAAAATATATTAAAAAGTCGGTTAATCTTTAAAGTTGAACAAATTATATATTTAAATTATTTTTCTCGAAGTCTCAAAAACAATTACATCATATTGCATTAGATCTTTCAATTGCATTCGCGAATTAGCAATTTTTTTTGCTGATTTTTATTTACGATTCATCAGCTGGCCAGAATTTTCATGGTTCTCGATATCGAAACTTCTGTCCATAACAAATATTCCATGATACAAGATAACGTTTGGTTACAATCGAGATCTGAGGTAAACCGCAGTCCTAGAAAACGACTCTTATTCCGTTATTGTCAACTACAAACATTGCAATAGACTCCTGCAGAAAAAAATGATCGAGAATATGATATCAAATCAAGCGATTAAATTCTTCTCAGCTGTTAGTTGTGAAAATTTTGTGTTTATAAGATACATTAATATAATATTTTACAATATATAATATAAATATATTGTATATTTTCTATCTCTCGTTCTAATAAATAAAATATAAAAAGTTTAGAGAAAATATATAATATTATTATATAATAAATTAACGTAATTTAGATAATAAATCATGTTGATCAATATATTCGATTAAATATAAAAGACGATCAAGCGACGACACAAAAACCGCATTAACGTTTTAGAGAAATATATCATTGAAAAGTCACACGATTACTGCGAAACGTAGTCGAGACTACAACCACTTGATCGAGTCACCCCCTTCGCTCTTTCACCCGATACCCATCGTTTTTATCCACCGCTCGTCGCGTACTCGAGAGCCGTCGAGGGTCGAGAGTGAAATCTCGACATTTGATGTGCGAGGATAAAAGCATTCCTAAAGCAATAATTGCCCCCCTCTCCTCCCTTCTCTCTGAAATGCGCGTCGGATGATCGCCGAAGGAGAAACAATCTCCGCTAAATGGGCCGCCTCCTCCCCTACGTTTACACAGCATCACGCTCCGAGAATTCCACAAATGGGGATCGCAATGCGAGGGATGCAAATTTTGCATTACTAAAATCGCACTAAATCCTTCGCGGCAAATCGAACATATAGATTTTATATTGAAAAACCTAAAATTCGCAAAAAATATAAAATACAGCAAATCATTTAAATTTATTATTTATTATTAAAAATTATTATTATTAAAAATAAGAAAAACTATAACAGTAACGAAAAATTTGAATTTAATAATAATAATAATAATGATAAAGAAAATGTAATTTTTGGTAAGATGAGCAAATTTTTTCATAATTAAAAAATAATAAAATAATCTTAAAACATATTTTCTCATTTCTCTTCTATAATAATAATTGTCGACATTAGGAGTACGTTCGTACTTCGTTTTGTTTATTTTTTGTGTAAATTTTAATTTAGAAAACTATTTTTCTTGTTTTAAGTTTTCAGAGATAGTAATTAACCTTTGTAAACTTTAGCAACAAACAGGACGATTTATTTTTACGTGAAAAAAATAATGGTATAGAAGTTTCAATTTAAGAATCTACGCTGGCAAGACTAAAAAATTCAAAAAGATTCCTTGCGAGATGGAGGAGGAAAAGGGAATGAAATGTTATTTCCCTTTTATTTCCGTCCATGGACCGATAAAATCAACGGGAAAATGTGGACGAGAAGGGTGAGGCAGCGAGGCCTCTCTAAAGGGGTGAAAACCACCCTCGTCTATTATTCACTTCTACTTTCAAGCAACAAGGATCGCGGCAACACAATCGCGATTCTTCCCCTAAATTCCATCCCCCTAGAAATGCCCAGGGCTGCTTTTGTCAGGTCGCGTTCGCAGCCCCTAATGACCGACGTTGCTTATTTAATTGGCGGCCATCGAACAATCGATAGTATCCGAGTTTCGATCTGTTCATGTATCCCGGAGAATAAATAAAAGTTTTAAAAAATAATTTATTATAAGAGAAAGAAAAGAATGAGAGAAATATTTTTATATTTATGTTGTGCAAAATTTAATATTATTAATTATTTTTCAAAATATTTTTTTAATGAATGTATTCTGTCATTTCTTTTATTAAATTAATGCAACTTTCCAATGTGATTTAGATGTTCCGGCCAAAAACATTGTCGCTATAACGCGACCATTGATCAACCAGGAGCGCATTCTTGGATTCCAGGTGAAATCTTATTGAAATATGCTTGCATACCAGGTGAGTATATTCTCATTATATTAAAAATATAGTAAACATTATAACGCTATTGACGTATATAAATTTATGTCTTAACAAACGGCAAATAATTTCATGAATATCTCCGATTTTATTATTATTATTCCTGATTTTTATTAATTTTGAACAATCATGATAGTACAGATTTTCGTGTAAAATTATCCTCACAGATGTTTGATACACACGGTACACGTCCAATATTAATAATCTAGCTTTATTTATCAGCGATAAAGCCCCTCTATTTTTCTACGATCAATTTTCGGGCGTGCGCAATCAATGATCAGCGGAACTTGATAAAACGAGCGAGCAAGCTTGAATCTCTCTGAATCCTCCCACGCCCGTGATGACGCAAAATGCACGACACGTCACGTGCTGCGCGTCCGATAAAAATGACCTCAGATTTCTATCTTGGCCGTAGTCAGCCAGCTGTCGGCGATATATGCTCGATCTTTATTGACCGTGGGATCGACAGCGTGTGCCATGATATTTCCCCGAAAGCCGACAAACATGAAACGGTGCATCTAATGCATCCGGTGTGGACAATACATGCCGCAAAATATATATGTAATCCTGATGTTCTATGGGATTGCACGTAATGTGGAAGCTCTTTACGAGAGTTAAATGAGAGAAACGTGACGTTTTGAGTTGACTTGTTTATTATTCAGTGATTTTCTTTTCTTATTTACAAAAGTATGCGTTGGAAGTAATGAATAAATGAAAAATTAGGGGAACATGTGCGTTACGATACAATATAATTACTTATTGCGTAACAGAAAGATATACTCAGATATTATAATTTTTTAGATCTATAGATTCTAAATTGCATTTTTCATAATTCTTCATTTTAAATAAATAATATTTATTTAATGTCCGATATAAAATTTTTTAGAAATTTATATTTTTCTGAAAATATATTTTATATATATATATATATATATATATATATATATATATATATAGAAAGAGAGAGAGAGAGAGAGAGAGAAAATTATTTATAACAATTATAAGCAAATTTTATATTAATCTTTATATTATTTAAATTTCTAAAAAGGATATTTTTTCCTTCACAATTTCTTAATGACTTACATTTGTTAAATTTATGCTGATCTTTCAAGAATAAAGTTTACCAAACCAAATTATCTATCGAAACATTGACGTCGAGAATAATTTGAGACTTTCAAAGTTTCAATTGAAGGTGCAATGTTTTATTAAACAAAGACAAACATGAATCAATAAATCCAACGAGAAGAATTCACGATTCGACAAAACATTCCCTTGCGAAGGTCGTCACGCTTGGATGAGAATCGGAAACGATGCATAAATACAACTGCCTTCTATTCAGGAGCAAGAGAGAGAAGGAGAAATGGCAGAAGCAAAGAGAGAGAGAGAGAAATAAGGAAAGAGGAGGAGGAAGAGACAGAGAACCAACTTCCCCTGCCTTGCCCTTATTACCACTACTAGCACGAATCATCCCCTCCAAAATGGCACCCCTTATCCGCGAAACTGGGACAAGGACACCCTCACCTTTTGGCCCGGCGAAATATGCTATCCTGCGATTGTACTGCATAGCGACAAATGGACCGCAACAGATGCAGCTGTTAATAGCGGCCTTATGGTTGCAGAAACGCGTGACCTATTATTCTGCTGCCCCTCCCTACTCCGAAAATAATTCCTTTCGAGAACAACCGAATTGTATCTGTGATGATTTGTTACTGGGAGAGATTTAATTAGGAGGTGGACATCTGGACGGGGTGCCATTGAATTAACACGATTTATAAACGCACGTGACAAATTATTCGAAAAATTAAACGTCGTAATTCAATCATATTGTATGTAATTATTTTAGAGAATATTATAAATCATTTTAAATAAAAAATTATTATAAATAATTTAAAGTTATTGAATGTAAATTGCGACAGTTTTAATTATTTATCATTGTGGAGTATCCAAAATTATGTTCAATTTTTAATTTATGTTATTTATTTCTTGTTTGAATAAATAATTATATTCAATATTTTAACCTCTTATACCTCTCTTTCATACACGAATCGATAAAATCATACTATATAAATAGAATACTGTATCGGTAAATTATATAAAAAATTAATTATTGATTAATTGCAGAAGCTGCGGTTAAACGATATTGCAACCAAGAGGTGAAGGTGACCATCGGAGAAGGAGGTTATATCAACACACCGGGTTATCCGCTGTATTATCTTGGACAAAGTGCGTGTGGATGGACCTTCAGGACATTTCCGGGTCAGAGGATAGTTCTGATCTTTCATGATTTAAACATCCGCGGTAAGCACAAATTTTAATCCGGCGATCCCAAAATTTTCTCCTACGACAAGTAGGATTGTTTTCATTTATAGTCGTTGCGCAAAGTGCGTATATATTACGCATTACATATTTGAGACATAAATCATATGCACATGATAAAGAAATCGATGACAGGTGGATGACACGTATAAATAAACATGGTATTTCACGTCTTCGATGTCACGTGCGATATTTAACAACTGAAAATTGTGAAAAAAAATGTCGAATTTTATTGGTTTCATTTTTTATATTTGGGCATCGAATTCAGGAAACCGCATTCAAATTGACAAAATTTTTATTTCCTGAGCAACATGCGTAAATAATTGTAACATGCTCATTAACAATTAAATGGCTCGCAATTATAGCATTATATTTATAATTCAATTGATTAAATCAACCTGATTGACGTCATGTTGTAATGTAATATTCATGATATTCGCCAATGATTTTCATATTATGCACTTGTTCGCATACATTGCCTCAGAAAAATATATGCCAAGGAGTTTTAACAAATATTATATCTCAACTGTTGCAATATTATTACGAGTTTAATATTTATGGATATAAATATTAAAAACTAATATTATAAACTAATATTTTTTTAGAAGATATTTTAGAAATACAAACGTACGAATAAAATAAAAATCATTAGTGAATTAATATTACTATATACGTCAATTAAAACGTTATTGTTGAGAATTAAAAGGACATAAATGTATAATAAATAATGTATAATAAACATTTATTTCCGACGTTTGTAATGTTCGAAATTACATCCACGTTATAATCGCGTGTGTGAGTATCTAAAATATATCAAATAAATTTACGTAACTAAAGTGAGATATATCAAACTTTTACGCGATATAAAAGTCGATGACAAGTGGACATATAAATAAACATGTTATTTTATGCTTTCGATATAATGTGCGACTAAAGCTGAAAAAGGTATTTGCGTTCAGGAAAATAAAACGATGCTCGCTTGTATATGCCAGAGGCTTTTTAGAAGTTAAAGATAAAATAATGAAATAAATATATGAAAAGGATATGAGAAGAAATATAAGACACGAGATATTCTACAATTGAAAAAATCGAAGTTTTCTATTGAATCGAGCAATTGTTATGATTATTGATCACGATTTCACGTGGATTATTAAGGTCATGATCTCGCATAAATAATTCACGCAGATCTGTAACAAATATCATCGATAAAGAAAATATCCATAAGAAAATATGCCGACAAATTTTTCTATTAAATTATAAAAATAAAACGATTAGATACTATTTATCGTTCGAAGATTTCATATGCATGATTTAATACACATTAATACATATGCTAAGGATTTTTGCTCGCTTCTTGCAATCTCTATTTTTATCAAATAATGACTTTGATATTGAACACATGGCTCGATCCAATTAAAGGATTGCATCAATCGTTCCCGAAAAAATAAACAACCCATCAGACCGGTTTGATTTTATACACGCTGCGTAAATAAACTTTAGATAGAAAATTGGAGATAAATTTCCGCAGGCCCGCAGATGGACGGAAGTTGCGTAGACATTGTGCGAGTGCGAGATCGTGGCAGCACTCTCTTCGAGTTCTGCGGCACCGCGGCCGGTACTCGGATCGTTTCGAATTCGAATGTGTTGACGCTCGATTTCGTCGCTTCCAGGAGGCTCTACAGCGCCAGAGGCTTTTTGCTGCAGTATCAAGGTAAGCGAGAAAAAATTTCAAATCGATTTCTCCCGAAAAGGCGATATAAAATGTCCCGAAAACACGTATTGTTATGCAATAAATCGAGAATAATTTTAAGGAAGATATGTATCTTTTTTATTATTTTATGCCTCGCAAAAAAGACAGGTCTATACGAAATTTATTTGCATCCTTATTATTCGGATGAAATTAGCATTTTGATGCAATTGAGTTCTCCGAAAAGTTTAAATAAGACTGTATTTTTTGGCGTTTAATTTTATTTTGAGATAATTGAGGATAATTTTTAATCCAGACAATATCTCCGACAATATCAAACTTATATTTAAAAAAGATTCTCTAATATTTGATGGTAAATTACGTTTAAAATAGCACCGTCTAGACGTATCTAGAAGACAACATTAAAATTATCCTGGAATATTATACATATAATTCAACTAACTATATATATATATATATATATATATATACTAGTCACACAAAAATTTTCAAGATAGAATTTAGCAGAATTATTATTACATTTTCTAGAAACACAAGAACCATTTTAATGTGATTAAAATTATTAAGTATTTACTAGTCCCGCCAAAGTGCTCAAAATTATCTAAAAAGTCCTACATATAATGAAAATTTTAAACGAGGAATAACCGATTGTAATTTGAAAATTTAGCAAAGAACCAGTCACTAGAGTTAATGGGGAACTAGTCTAGAAATAATGCAGGTGAAGGCAAGGACATAGTGAAAATGAACTTATGCTTACAGCATTAGGCTGTCCGGAGATCTTAGCGCCGAACGGAAGTTACGTGTCGAACGGTACTTTGACTTCGCGGACATTCTCATGCAAGTCGGGCAGCGTGTTTCCCGACAGCAAAGAAAGAAAAAGAACGCTCGAGTGCAAGAATGGCAAATGGAACGAGACCACCACTAAGTTGCCTGCTTGCGTGGGTAAGAATTTTCCTGATAAATCCATTATGTTATATTTTACTTTATATTTTTATTTATTTGCGTCGTATTTGACATATTTTACTCATCAACTGTTCTGTTATATTACCAGAAAAATGTATTCATATATTTTATTATATATTATAATATTCTAATATATATTCATTTTAAGATATATTTTATTTTCTCTGTTAAAATTTACCACTGCTTTGAATTAAATTTTTATGTAAACGCGAAGCGCGCATGCAAATAATACGCGAATATGCATTTTTTTCATGCATAAAATAACATGCAAAATAAAAAAAGAACCATTGATATATTTAAATCTTTTTACCATGCATTCATAAATTCAAATTCATAAATTATTGATACCATTAAGTCAATTTTTTTAATATGACTGATAGATCGGAAATCGGACTCGCATGAAAGTTAGCGTTGATTAATCGTAGATTCGAAATTTATATCTCGTTCTTTGTCCTTTGAATTTGTTGGACATAACATTTCGAACCCTCGTCTCGCTCGATACTATCTACATTTTACAACCCCAAATTAATGGACATAGAACGTGTTCTTCTCTACCAGTAATTTGAAACTCCCACGCGTAGGTTGAACACGCGCAATCGTTGAATTCACACAATAATCAGCACAATTTACGTAGGCGCCTGAGATAATCGATACGGTCCTTACAGGAAACCCAGTAGCTAGTGATGGCACAAAAATCCATACTTTACAATTTTTTGTGTCGTAAATAGTTACATTAAAATCTTAATTTTCATAAGTTATTTGTTTATGTTATAAAATAATCATAAATTAATATCTTTTCAATATCAAAGTTACTATATTTCATGCAATAAATTAGCTTAATAAATTCTTATTCAATATTACTTAATATTGAAAATTTTAAAATATACCACCAAATTGAGTTTTGTAAAAATATGCTCTTTATATTGAATTTAATTTAAATAATATTATCTAAAATTCTTTCTTTTTCAAATATATTTTATTAAATAAAAAAAGGAAAATTAAACATAGAGGAGAAAAATAAAAGCCAATCTGATCTAAAGCTTTTATCAAAAATTTCTTCGAGTACTTGATTCTATCTTTAAGAGTTTTACATTCGCTTTCTATCTTTTAAAAAGAAAAATAAAAATTGAAGATAGATAAATAATAAAATAAAACGAAAGCTATAGAAAGATAAACTCGAAGAGTGTGGACTATAACGTGAGCGTACATGTGTGCCATTATGAATCGTCGCATAGTAGTATTTTAGCCATTTTTTGCGATATAATAAAGGGCGTATTCAGGCTTTTGTTCGTCAGTACCAGAATCGGACAGAATGCCATCGCTACCTATGGCTGCCCATCGAGGGGACTTTCTTCCCCCTCGGGGAACATGGTGGGGAATCCCACTTTGGGGAAGGGAGCAACCGAGATGTAACTCTCTCGGTAGGGGAAGGAAAGACAAGGATGAATTTCGAGAGAAAGAGAGAGAATCTTAGGGCAGAGAGGGTTCGCAAAGCAACCATACATCGTCTTCGTCATCGTTGTCGCCCGATGCCAGTCGTCTGGACGCCACGTGTCTCTTTGGACGCGAGAAAAAATACGCGCTGTAAATTTGAAATTCGCAAAAATATAGACCCGTTGTGTTCGATATATCGTGTTTTGGAAAGACGTCGCTCGCGCTAAAAAAACTCGAACAAGTTCGCCGTAAGTTCGTCCAAAAGGTAACTAATTCATTTATAAACTTACATTTAATCGTACATAATTTTATTGCTACATTGCTAAATTATTTTCATAAATCTATGAGTCAATAATTATTACACAAAAATGTGACAAATGACTAACAATAAACTTTAAAAATTGAGTTTCTAGTTAGTCACTAACTAAAAGTTCGAATAATACTTTCATTATTTATTAATTATCAGTGAATTTTGTTTATGATTGATGGTTTTGAAGCAAAGTACGCGGTGATTTAGATTATACAAGTAGCGAATTATATACAAATATTCTATTTTCTTTTAAACTAGATTAAAGCACAATCGATATCGCAAGCGAAGTGATCTTGTTGAACTTTTGCATTCATTGTGATCTCTGAATTAATTAATTTCGCGTTTATGACGCATTCGGATTTCGATAAGAATTAATTATCAACGAGTCATTAATCATTAATAAGGGACGAAAAGGATTACATTTTTAAATTTTGCTCTATTCATTAAATTATGTATTTTCTTTCTGAATATTTTAAATTTGGAAAATATTTCTCTGCATTATTAAAAAAGACTCTTTATACTTTATATTCCCTAAAATGCTACGAGATTAAATCTCTTTTCAAAGAGCCAATCAATATTGTTATATAATAAAAAATAAAGTAAAATGTGAGAGAGAGAATTTCCGGCAACTTATAATACATAGTAGAAACATTGAAATATCTTAGAAAACTGCAATTTTTCTTTATAAATTAAGAAACTAGATAGGAAAAATATGAAAAAAGTAACTAATTGATGTAAATTGAGAAATCGTAAAAAAATAACAAAATAAAATAATCCTCAAGCGCGGATACGTTTTTTCATTTCAATTATTTTCGAAACAAAACCGATTTCACACAATTCCAGAAGAAATACATTTTAACGCGAAACGGATCCCAATTTTCCGATAAATGCAATCGGATTTTCCATTCATCGAGGAAAGAATGTTTCAGTTTCGTGAAATACGCGTGGATGCATTCAAAGCAGATGCATACATAATTCGGGAATTGTACAGCTGCAATATTGTTCCTGTTATTTGTATTTTTTTTGTGAAAAAGCGCGAACGAGCAGGAAAGAGAGAGAAGAAAAATGATCGCGTTTGGTCTCTTGAGGGGAGTACAAAACGATAGGAATGGTGGGGATGCTTCCGACCCCTCTCCTATCTTTCTTTCTTTCTCTCTCTAGTCCCTCCCCGAGTGATAAATTTAGAATTAGCAGAATAAAACGACACACACAGCTGCCCCGATTGAGCTGGCTCCGCGAAAGTTCAGCCTCGATCTGTTGCTGGAACGAAAACTTTGTTTAAGTGTATTAGCGAAGCTGTAAAGTGAATAGGAGAGATATATCGCAACCTCCCCTATATAGAACATATTCAAATTTTAAGCCATTCAATGTTGATTAACAATGTTGATTATATGGCTTAAAATTATATAGATTAATTATATAATTTAAAATTAAAGAAATCTATGTGAAATAATTCTCGAATAGAAATATAAAATATAAAATAAACAAAATGCTTCGCTCTTTATCAGATTTTTTAATTTTATTTAATGCTCTAGTTATTAAATCTCTCGATATGCAGAGATATTTAAAATATGTATAAATATGTTTTCATTATATTACATAACTCGTTATTATTAAATTCCAATAAAAATGATTAAATCTGTTGCAAAATTGTGAAGTTTCGATGCAAGATTATTAAACTTTGGTGCTCCATATATATTATCACAAAGTTTTGTTTTCTGATGTCAACTTATCAAATTTCCTGCAGATAGTTACTAATTATTATATTCCGATACACAAACTGAAAAAAAATATCACATATCCATAACATACGTGTAACTATTTATTACCCGCCACCGAAAACGATTCTTGATATTTTTCATGAATCCGACACTTCATGCCTACATCGACCTATCATGCTCCAAGAGAGCGGCCAACTTGTTTTCGACGAGCGCGTCGAGAACAGGAAAGGTAGAATGGGAAGGAAAGAGAGGTGCAACGTTTGGCCCTGTTTACTCCCACCCGTGGATGAATGTATTTCCCTCTCTCTTCGTTGCCCTCACCACGGCACCCGGAGTTCCCCTCGTCGAGGTGGAGGAACAACGTGAGCCACCGATGCCAAGCAAGGGGAACCTCTTCCAGTCGCCATCGGCGTTCCCAGCATATACGGCGTCGCGTATCCCTCATCACCGACCGCCCTTTGTTCATCAATGGAGAGCTCGTGTCCACGTTCACGTACGCACGCATACCCGCGATCACGCATCACCACCACGCACGCGCGGGGGTGTCGGGAGAATCACCAAGAGGAGACCTGCCCGCCACCTCGCCTCGGAACGCCAGTCAAGGTCACCGCGGGATCACGTAGCGAAATTGCTGTCGAATAGATTCGCGAAAAATTGCTCGGCTTCGATCGGATGCCGAAGAGACTGCAGATCTAGTAACGAAGTTCTTGAAGGAAAAAGGCCATTCTGAAAAGAATGCCCTTTCATCTGAAAAGGATGCTTTGATTCTATGAAGAGCGTTTCTTTTTCTTACAAGAAATCCTTGCTCGAAAGGAGGAGATTCTTGAAAGACGAAGAATTGATATGCCAGAGAAACAGTGATTTTTTTAAATTTTTAACTCATCAAGAGAAAGAGAATTCTTAAAAGGAATGTCTCATGAATCTCTTTTTGAAAAAATCCCGGAGACTGTCCGATAAAAGATAGTCTTCCTCCCTTAAGAGAGAGATCTCCATTTCTTCTGGAAAAAGTAACTTTTCTCTAAAAAGTCTATGTTTGAAAAAGAAACTTGTGAAAAAATGTTCTAAGATACGAGATTAATACGAGAAAAATGGGCAGATTTTTCTTACAATAAAATCAGACAAGTCTTAGTAAAAAAATCAGATAGACTTTTTAAAGAGATCGTTTCGAAAGAAGTGATTCTTTCCAAGTTCTGTAAGAAAGAATCGCCAAAGAGACACTGAAGTTTGGTAATTCTTGAAGAAAGGAGGATCTGGCGATAATAAAAACTGCGAAGATAAGAAAAGTCCCGAATCCGAGATTAAATCTCGTCGAAAATAAAGATCAGCGGGGCGTTTCCAGACAATGCGCTGGTCTAGTTTCAAAGAAGGATGTTGAAATTGGCGGGCAGGCGAATCATCAAGGTTGGCGATTACAAATTACAATTTCTGGAGAACACGCGCGCGTTGCGTGATGATCAAAGTTCATTGCAAAGTCAGTGAGAAGCAATTGAGCCGTTAATTATGCTTTAACGAGC